ATAGAAAACATCTTATCCATATGCGTAGGCCCATCCAAGTCACTCATCTCCCCTGTGTCAAATCCCTCCTCAGATATCACGGAATCGACATACGTACCTTCATCAATATTAGCTTCGGCACCTTCCTCATCCCCCAAACACCCCATCGAGACATCCCTTTTTATGCTTTCGGGAACCCTAACCTCGCTCTCCTTACATGACATAAAACCATCCGTGTCGACACCCGTCACTGCTCCCTTAACCTTTTCTTTTAATGAATTAATGAGCTTGACAAGTTGCCCGGATTTGGGGCGCCAACGCTTCCTAACCCGCTTCCATTGACTGGGCCCCGGTTGATCAACTCACTTTCCTTTTTCAGCCCACGAATATTTCTTTTTAACAATTCTCAGCCCATTGTCCATGGGTCGAAAAGATGGATCCACCCAAGACAGCCCAGACTGGCCCGGAAACACAGTTTGCCCTACCCAACTACCTTTCTCCTCTGGCTTTCTCACCACCTCCGCAAAGGTCGCCCTCTTCCTTTCCAGCCATATGCCCCACTCCGCCATACAATCTGGACATCTTATCACCCATTCAGCCAAAGCCCCAATACACATGCCCTGCACCTGTTTCCTTCTTTCCTTCCCCTTTAGCCAAACTGGAGGAACCAGCTTGATATCCGCCACCAAATGGATAGCTTCCATAACTTGCCACCAGCCATCTGCTTTATCTCCCTCCGGAAGAATGATTCTATTTAAATTTCTACTCACCACATCCTTGTCTTTCGAGAGTACCAAAAATTTACCTTGCTTGTTGTTTCCTAGAGACAAACGAAGGGTCCTCCAACTACTTCAGCAATATCTTTCCCATAAGCCTTCGCTTTTCTCCCACCTGAACTCCCTAAAGCTCTGGAGCAACCACTTCAAATCTTCCTTCTAGAAAAATAACGATTTGCGATAACCCCAACCATTCTCGTACATTCTCACCCCGTTTCCTTCCCCTACCACGTCGAAGGATTTCTTTTCCACTTCTAGAAACTGCCTCAGTCCACTGGCATTTCGGCCAGCGGGGGCGAACACCGAAGGCCAAGTAATAACTATTACCGAGAGACAGAGAGAAAGAGAGAGAAAAGAGAGAATTCCCTTTTGAGCCTAACAAGGTATTAGTAGAGAGAAGAACCAATAGAACATGAATACTGTATAAAGATAATAATTGATGTAACCTAGTCACTGGGATACACAAAGGTTGATGGCCTTAAGTTGTGATAATCTTTTAAGCAACTTAATGGCTTGAATCCAAGAAGACGCAGGTGCCCGGATAAAACTCTTTTTTGCAACAATGCCAACCTTGATCATTTCAATTGATAATATACTCTCAAACGCTCTACTATTTCTCTATTTCTATAGGACCCAAAAAGTAGTCAAAGGAATAACCTTTACAACTTCCCTCTTTCAATATAAACCTTCCCAAGCCCATATCTCATCCCTAACCGATCCCGCCATAACCCCCAACAGTCCATAAATCATGCACCATAAATTATAAACAGCGGGGCGTCATAAGAGATTGTGATTACAGATTCAGCAGCATTCATACAAAGATAACATTTGTTAACCACCATAAGACCCTTTATCATCAACTTATCAATAGTCAGATACATTCCCGACAGCCTCCCCCGCAAAAAGCCCTAACACCATCTTACGCCCATAATTCATTCCCTATTGTGCCACTAGTCATCTAAGACAAATTAAAGAGGGACAAAGTTGAATCCTATAACCTTCTGGCTTTTGTACTCCAAAGGAGGAGATGGTTGGCAGACTAACTCTCTTGCAAGAACATAACTAACGTGCATAATGAAAAAACCACAATTTCTTAAATTATCAAAAATGAGACTTCTACTCCATGTGACTTCCCAGACAAAGAAAACAATGCAGTGTATGCTTTTCTCTTCCAAGTCTCCTTCCATAGGAACCAAGAGGTGACCTCAACTCTAGAAAGGTTATGCTCAAAGGAACTTAACAAAAAAAACAAACATTTTTTAAGAGCAATTTAGGATGATTAAACATGCAAGGACCAACAAGACAGAAACTAAGATTGTCAAAAGAGAAATCACATTTTCAATCTCCCAATTATTTGTATTCCAAGACATACGGATATTCCATGAGAGGTGCTGATCACAATATCACTGACCGAAGCATACTCATCCCTAGAAAGAGCAGAACTGTTTGGGGAACTTTCTTTAAGAGGTCTCTCACTACAGCAGCAATCAGCGCAAAACTCAACAAATTGTCATTGTCAAGCCTACAATTGGTAGGTAGTCGTCGATAGCAGTAAGAAGATGGTGAAGCTGGCACTGAAGTACTACAGACCCCGCAAGGTGGAGCACAAGATAGGAGAGGAGGCTTACAAAGTGACCCTACTTACTGGTTGCCGGATCCGTCCTGCTTTCATGACCTGATGTTGAAGAAATACATTGGGGATCTCAAGATCATCAGTGAGTAACTGACACTTACAATGACAAGATTAGATAATAGTGGAACTAGAAGAAATTTGGTAGATGTAGAATTATTCAGCACAAGGCAAAAGAAGCTGAGCAAGTTCTTCTTACATGGCTGAACTTAGGACCTGCAGAAACAACCTGGGAAGATCTGGCATTCCTCAAGAGTCAGTTCCCTCACCTTAACCTTGACGACAAGGTTCGACCAAAGGACGGGAGACCTCATGAATTGGCCGGAGAATAAGAATTCAGTATGGTTGTGAGGATAGTAATTTCTCTTTTGTTGATGACATTTTCTTTATTTCCCGTATGTCCTTTTGGACTTCACATATGCAAAGGCAGTTCAAGTGGTTTTATACAGTGCTAGTTGTGCACCAGGTAATTGTAGGCTTGTACCTAGTACTGAAGGCATATACGAAATTGCTAAAACATTCCTACCAATTCTCCCTCCTAACTCTACCTTTTCTACTTCTTCCTATCCTCTCTCTTCTCTTCTCCCCTACACTCTTATCAACCTCTCACAGACTTTACTCAGCTGATTCATGAGGCAGTGGTCTAACAGATAGCAATCAACATGTTATCATCAACAAGCATTTATATACATTGGATTTAGCTGTTGCAAGTCTGAAGCCAGACAATCTAAACATGTTCTTCTAGGCCCAATTTAGGAGAAACGATCAACCATAGACCTCCAAGGATTTCCAAATTATCCAACACTTGATCAACATATCAAAATTCTTCAATCTCTCCCTTAACTATATTTTTTCATGTAATGATATAAAAAATATATAGTTAAAAAGGAGTGTCCTCGATTATAGAATTCTCATGCTCTTGCTTTCTAGGCATTCTGAGAAATCTTCAGCTTAAGCATAGCCCTTGAAGAAATGTTCGATTACAAGAACAAATTGAAGGACTTGTTGGTTCAAATAGTTCAATCCTTCAACAAAAACACTTTCTAAGTCATGAAATTAATTATACTGAACTCCAAAGGAATAACCTCCCATAATTAGGCAAATTTCAGAAAGACCCCAATATTCATGTCTGCATACACACAGAGCCACACGTGCATCAACAATTGTTATCTCATACACTTTTATCTTCCAACAAAAAACATATTGAGGCTAAAGTGACATTTATCAATGCCTTGATACTTGATTTCAAATAATAAAAAAAATCAATGACTTGATCAGTGTTTATTTTAAGGTGATCTGATGTAATCTAATGATCTTGTTGAAATTATCTATTAAAGTTTGAAAATTAGTAGTGTTCAAAGTAGTACAAGATACACAAACCTTTTCCTTTATGATCATTAGAGGACCCAAACTTTCTCTTTCCATTTCCCGATTGATGAAACTGAGACTTTTGGAATCTACAATGGAATTTATGATGAATCAGTAATTACAACTAGAAGTTCAAAAGAAAACCCATTGACAAATTACAGACCCTTTTTGTGATATATGACTTTTCAGGTTTCTAGGGAACGTTTTGCCTTGAAAATTTTTCCTATTTGAACATAAGTTATTAATATGACCAGCTTTGATTGGTTGGCCCTGCAACAAGTAAATAGAATTCAAATAGTCAATGTAAGAATTTAAGTGGATTAATACGTAGGTATAAGAACATTAACAAGTACTCTAAAACAAATACTTGCATAACATAAAAAAATTGTGCTTGAGAGTCATGAGCTTTAGTGACATTAACAAGGAAACAGAAAACAATGATCCAGAAACTTATTTGACATCAACACCGTAATAAAATGAATCTTACGTTGAAAACGCTACCTAACACTGCATTTTTAAGAGGAGCCTAAAATTCCATTGTACGCATACAAAGAGAATTGACGAAGAGTAATTCCATTTTTTGCATTACTGTGCAGGTAATACCAAGAATTTTCCTTTTTGTCTTAGAAATAACCCTTTTGACACATGGTAAAACTACACAAAGAAATAACTCAAGAAGAGAAGGGGGGAAATAGCAACCTGCGAACTCGTGATACCAGAATGTTGAGAATTCTGATTCTGCTGCGTCTTAGTTGAAGAAGATAGATCACCGAAGGAGTTCCCTTGTGATTGTGGAGAATTCATACCGTGCCTACCCCAGTTTTTGTTAAGATGCTGCTCAGTTTGCTTCGAATTCACAACACCAAACTGTGGATTCCCAAAAAAATTGGAACCACCAAAGCCTGCCAACTGCTGAGAACCCAATGGGGCACCATAAGGGGCTCCTTGAGGAATTGGCATTTGCATTGGCACAAATTGGTTCATATTCTGCACTTGGTTTTGCATAGAGAATTGTTGACCAGTTGCCAAAGCCATAATCTGATTTAGCTGTTGAGTCAGATTCGCCAGCCCATGAATTAATTGTCCCTGTGCTTGAGTTGGATTCTGCATTGGATTGCACAACTGACCCATTAAAGCGTTATTCAAGATGGGTACACCGAAACCAGGCTGAGAAACAGCACCCACAGGAGTGAGTTGGGGCGTACCCAGATTGTTATTTTGAGAGTGAAAGGGATGGGCAGGAGCATTCATGAAACCAGCTTGGGGCATCAATGGCGGCATATTGCTGCTATTGGCAAACGGAATAGGAAGGTGCGGATTGATGATACCCATTTGAGGCTGAACTTGCATGGAATTCGGTAACATAGGGCATGAATTCCCTACTGAAGGAGTAGACTGGGAAGCTTTCTGATTTAGAAAACAATAAATCAGCAGTTAGACGAAACCGTTCACGAAATTTCGAGTGAGCACATATGCAGATAGAAAGAGACAAATAGACAAACCTGTTGATGAAAGGGAAGAAAAGAATTGGAAGAAGGTTGCATTCTTCCAGTATAGAGATACAAAAGCTACGACAAACTTAACTCCCAGAATTTGCGAGGAAATTTTTCTTTTTTAGTACGGGGGTTGATAAGCGAAAAGCAGGGAAGTAGGGCTTAAGGTTCGAAAGAAGAAGGGGGGCTCTGCAGAGAAGGAAATTTAACTAGAAAGAGCTTGACTCTGCCTCCTAAAATCTCAGCCCTTGGATCAATTGTAACAAATCATGTCCGTTAAAAGAAATAAAAATAATTTGACCTTCGGCAATTAAAGTTATAAAAATTTAGTAAATTTAATTTCTATATTGTTAGAATTATACTTATTTAATAATAGTTCAGAATATTTTGATAAATAAAGGAATTTTAAATTCAATCTCCAACTATTATAGAAATTAAATAAGTTAGGAAACAACAATAGTTTGTGTCAAACAAGAAGACGATAAAAGATGATGAGTGAGACGGAAGAGTCTTTTAGGAAATCAATTTTTTTTTTTTTTGGGCAAAACAATTTTGTTTCATCTTTTCTTAATAATAAAATTATTTTTGTTTTATTGAATATATACGAGGTTTAATTATAATACTTTTTAACTTTAAATAAATGATTCAACTTTATTATTTTATCTATTCCTATAATTTTATTTTTATTTTTAAAAAACAACAAATATTATTATGTACATAAGTGAGAGCCATTGGTGATTTTTTTTTTTTTTTAAAGGAGCTTGATGCTTTGCATGGGAAGAAAAAACAGATTAAAAGAACAAAATTTTTTAACTTACTGCGGTAATTATCTCATTATTTTTCTATTGACGGTGGCAGTCATGTATAATTTTACAGCCATTTAATATTATAAATTAACTCAACACTACCAAGTCAAACTCTCCACGTGGACGACCTTAAAACTTAATCTCAACCATCTATATAACCATGTGGACGGTTATAGGCATCCAACGGCAGAGACGCTACCACTTCATTGATCCGAGTGAAAACCTATTTGGCCAATAGTAGCTCATCCGGATGTCTATATAAATAATCCATCGCCTGAACCCTTCATCGAACTCCTCCGATTTTCACTCTCGAATCCTCGAACCGAATCTTCATCGCTCTCTAGAACTCTCTCTGTATTTCATTCATGGCGCCCAAGGCAGACAAGAAGCCTGCTGAGAAAAAGCCAGTTGCCGAGAAGGCTCCGGCAGCGGCTGAGAAGAGACCTAAGGCCGAGAAGAAGATATCCAAAGAAAGCGGTGAGAAGAAGAAGAAGAGGGTCAAGAAGAACAGCGAGACTTACAAGATTTATATATTCAAGGTGTTGAAGCAGGTGCATCCGGATATCGGGATCTCTAGCAAAGCAATGGGGATAATGAACAGCTTCATCAATGATATATTTGAGAAATTGGCTCAGGAGGCCTCTCGTCTTGCTAGGTATAATAAGAAGCCTACCATTACATCTAGGGAAATCCAGACTGCGGTCAGGCTGGTATTGCCCGGTGAATTAGCCAAACATGCCGTTTCTGAAGGGACGAAGGCGGTTACTAAGTTCACCAGTTCTTAGGTTTTTTTCTTTCCCCTCTTTTTGTTGTCAGATCTGGGTTTATTAGGCAGGATGATGATTCTATTGATAGGTATTTAGGCTTTGCAACCTTTTTCTTTTCCCTATTATTGATTCTGGTTGTATTGTACGAATGAACATATTCAATTGAATGGTTAATTTTTAGAATGCAGTTTATGCCCCTTGGTTTCTTCATCGTCTATCATTTATCGGGAACCGATTATTAATGCAAGTAGAAACAATTTCCCCAGTGGGGTAATTGGTTTCTAAAGATTAAGGAAATCGACGGTGATTTCGTATTACGTATTTAAATCATATCAATTTGTTTGGGATTAAGTTTTTATTTGAACATTATTGGACATCCCGAAGGTTTTGTTTGGGCAATAAATGAATAGATTTAGTGTAAATTATTGGAACGATGAAGTATGTACACTTATTGAAGTAGATAAGGGCCCATTACAAGCTGTATTTACACACTATGTTCCAAACAGATGGTAGCAGAAGAAACCTACCCGTAAATAATTTGAGCTTACTCTGCTAATAGATGATCACAAACTGAAAAATAACCAGAATATTGGCCATTAGCCTTTGAAAATCTTTTCAGTGAAGTTCCATTGGAGCTCCAGTTCATTTCTCTGTTTTCACGATTTAAATCTCAATTTCTTAAGCATTATTTCCCTCACATCTTGTACTTGTCTCTTCTATCCATATCACAAACATCTCATACAACCTCTTTGAATCAAAGTTATTATCAGCAGAGCTTTTCTTGCCCAAGCGTTGGAGCATTGGGTCCAAGAGTGAGTATGAAAATATCGTTGCTTTTTGTTATACTCTATGGTTATTGGCTTAAAGCTGATACAAAATTAACTAAAGTGAGAATTAGTGAAGGGAAAGTAGAGAGATATAAGTGCCATAGATTAGCAGTTGGTATTTGTTCAAGTTCCTCATGCACATGAATTTCAGAGACATAGTTGCTGACTCTTCAAGCATTGAATGCCAGCAGTCTAAGTTGAATAAGGAAAGAATCGAAGTCCTAGCATGCATTTGACCGGCGGATGGAGGACTTTAGAGAAGAAAAATGAAGAAGAAGATGGTCAGTATCAAGAAATTTCTTCATTTAATGCTCACCCTAACATTATCAAATCCACACAGCTAGCTGTAGCCCCTAAAGAAATCACTAACCTTAGCCCAACAACTACAGTGGCCTGCTGAAAAATCCCAGTTAAACCAATAGCCTTTTCCATAAAAGGCCCAACACCTTTCCCCCTCAATCATAAAAAAACTTACAACCTGATCCCCACTAAAAGGGGCCTAGGAAAATATTTCCACTTCAAATCCACACCCCCACCCCAGCCAATGAAACCCAAACCAATACTGTTCTCAACAAAAAATTCTTAAAGAGAGGAGTTAGACTCTCCATTGCCTGTGAAAATATAAACTATGTATTCTATATATATTTATTGAGATTTTCTTATATATATATATATTAAGATGGGTTACGTTTTCTTTTCTTTCATTATATATAAAATCAAGATTATGCATTGAAGTGAATGCACTTAAATTTGGGGTTTAGTTAATACATAGTTGAGGTTTTTCTTTTTTAAACCTTAACAGTAGATGACATAATTGAAATACATAGATACATGTTTCATGTTAACTAAACATATAATAAACAGATAAAAAGTAACGAGATTTTCTTGCAAGACTCAGAGCAATAGCAACCACAAGAAACCGGCGACGGGAAGAGGCAACATACGCAAGGGGCCCACAACCACAATCAGATAACGCGAAGATAAGACAGAGACTTTTATATCCGTCAGATGGATACGCAGCCTCATCCAACGGCTACCATTCACCACCACGGATAAACTACCAACACTTCACAAAATATTCACGAATATAATCCAAACTGCAAAACACTTCTCCTCTCCACTCTCAAGAGCAAACCTCTCTATTCCCCTACACCCGGCACACGTTAGCATCCACCATAATGGCTTCCACCACAACCGCTGCCGCTACCTCATCTTTCATCGGAACCCGCCTTCCAGACATCTACTCCGGATCTGGCCGGGTCCAAGCCCGGTTCGGTTTTGGCACCAAAAAAGCCGCGCCTAAGAAAGCCGCTTCGAGGCCGACGACTGACCGGCCACTTTGGTACCCAGGTGCTAAAGCACCCGAATGGCTCGACGGGAGCTTGGTGGGGGATTACGGGTTCGACCCATTCGGTCTAGGCAAGCCTGCTGAGTACTTGCAGTTCGAGCTGGATTCTCTAGACCAGAACCTGGCCAAGAACTTAGCTGGTGACGTGATTGGGACGCGCACTGAGAGCGCGAACGTCAAATCCACGCCGTTTCAACCCTACAGCGAGGTTTTCGGTTTGCGGAGGTTCCGGGAGTGCGAGCTGATCCATGGAAGATGGGCTATGTTGGCTACTTTAGGAGCCCTCTCCGTCGAGTGGCTCACCGGCGTTTCCTGGCAAGACGCCGGCAAGGTACATATAACTTTAATAAAAAGGGTTTAGGTTTTTGAAGCAAATGCGTGTAGTTAATTGTTTGTGGGATGAAATGTATCAGGTGGAGCTGGTAGAAGGATCATCATACCTCGGGCAGCCGCTCCCATTCTCAATTACGACATTGATATGGATTGAGGTTTTGGTGGTTGGGTACATTGAGTTCCAGAGGAACGCAGAGCTTGACCCGGAGAAGAGATTATACCCGGGAGGAAAGTTCTTTGACCCCCTTGGGTTGGCAGCTGATCCAGAGAAGAAGGCTACTCTTCAATTGGCAGAGATCAAGCATGCTCGTCTCGCCATGGTTGGGTTCTTAGGGTTTGCAGTTCAGGCTGCTGTAACAGGGAAAGGTCCCCTCAACAACTGGGCTACACACTTGAGCGACCCACTTCACACAACCATCATTGACACTTTAACCTCTTAAGGATTCTCTCTCTCTCTCTATATATATTTATATATATATATATATTCCTTTGCCTCTGATTGTTTTGCTTGGCTGTATTATTATATCTGGCTTCCCCGGCTTCTGTAAAAATTCCAATGCTTGACAGTTTAAGCAGGCTGTAGCTGCCTCTGCCTCTGTTCGCCATCTTTCAGTTTTTCCCAAAATTAATCCTGAAGCAGGATATACAATTAAGACGATATATATAGTCTTTTCAGCCCAAAATCTTTCTGATCAAATATTGTCCTAGTTAAAACTGAAACAAGTTTATAATTGTTAAATTCGAGTATTAAATTTAGCAGAAATGATAAGATTATTATAACACTTGCCATCTAATAGTAAAAATATTAATAATTTATCTAAATGGTAGGACCATTAAAATGAAGAGAAGAAAGTATTACCGGGAAAAAATTGTTCGTGTAAGGAAGAAGGTGGGTTGGAGTTTAGAAAATTCAGGTATTTTAACATAGCTTTCATTGCTAAAGTAGGTGGTGCTGTTCTGGAGTGATGGAAGATTTTGTTAATCTCTAAAATCTTAAAAGACTAGATATGTTAAACACACTCTTGTTCTAGACAATAACCCAAAATACATGCTGGACTTGGGTATAGGTTCTTCTTTAAGAGAAAAAGAGGAGAAATATAAGGATTAGAGAGAGAGAGTTAGATAGGAAGAGAACAAACATATAAAAATTTTAAGAAGAATGATAATATTGAGAGATATATATATTTATGTATATAGAAATTTGATGGAGATAGTAATGATATATTTAAAATATTTCGATCATTGATTGATTATATATATAAAAATAAATAATTTATATGTAAAAAAATATGCATGAATAAGTAAATAAACAATTGATTTTTAAATTAATTGAATAAAGATGGTAGAGGAGGTAGTTAGATAACCTAAATTTCGAAGATGTTGGATATAAGCAAAAGATAGTAGAAACGATCACGAATAATAAGAATAAAAATAATAACGAGTGACAATTTTCTTGGTAGGGTAGGGCTTGTAAGATTCATATTGGAAATGAATTATTTTGCTCTTATTAAAATTATGCATTCCGTGAGAGTTCAAAAAGATATTTTTCACTAGATTTTAAGGGGGGCATGTATGAGCGGATAAATTTAGTAATATCTAAAATAAATTTAAAAAATTAAACTTATTCTAAATTCAAAATATATTTGAATTTGGTGATATTCTATTTTATTGTCATATCCAATTAAATATTATGTCAATTTTTACTAATTTAATAATTATTATTAAAATTAAATATATTATTTAATACTATAAGAGAACTCACGATTAAAAAAAAAAATTTATATATGATATATTTTTAAAAATTTAAAGAATAAGAAAATATATATTAACTTGTTAATTAAGGAAATAGTGATGCCTTGCCATTAAAATTTTATTTATTATTATTTTTTGAAACAAAGTAATTTTCTTCCCATTTTCTCCATACTGTTCTAATTGTCTTTTATTCACTATAATTTGATTAAAGTTTATATAACTTGTTATTATATTAATAAATTATATCATTACTAATTTTTTTAATAAATTGAAAAAATCTTTTTATTTATTTAATTTTTAAATATTCTCCGTCATTTCCTTTTACTCGTTTTCCCAAGCATAGTGTTAAATATAAAACTACAGACACCGTATGAGGAGAAGAAAGCCCACGAAGGAGACCAGCTTGAGGTGATGGTTGCGCAGCCCACACGATGACGATTTCCACCACCACCGGCGCCGCCAAAATCCAGAGATCGAGGGACAAACGTTGTTTGTGAAAGAGGAAAGAAGCAATCAGACAAGAGGTGGGAGAGTGGAAGAAACCAGAGGAAGAATTGATGACCCTGAGGGAGAGAGCTTCGAGAGAGTAGAGTGTGTGAGCGATAGTCAGCGAGCAACCAAAGGGTAGAGTTTCAAGAGTCGCTATTGGCGACTGGTTGCAGCATTTGAACCCATAGCCACCTCTTGGTAAGCTTCTGCCATTCAGTGTGCAATCCATCTGTGTAAAGAGCAAAATTTATACCGAGTATGATAACTTTCTACCTCCAAGGTTCTAGACTGGTAGGAGAGAGAAGAGTATGATCTTTTTATTCATATGAATAAAATTTCTGTGTGATTCATATAATCGGCATAAATATCTCTGTGTCTCATCACTGAGAGCGTTCTTTTATAACGTATATTATCTGTTTGTGGAAAGACCTATGAGAAACCGCGACTGTATGTTTATGAAGTTATTGTAATCAAACTTTTAGAATGCTGCTTTTGTTAGAATTATTGAACCGAGCTATCTTTTTTTTAATGGAAGTAATAATGATTGCATACCGGTTCTTGCTTCCCATTCAATATTTGTTATATCGAGGACATGATTCTGTGGTATATGCCATTTATTTGTGAAAATGTTCATCAAAATGCTGGTTTGGACGTGTGAGTTTTGCTGCTAGCCTGAACTTGCTTTGATTTTGAAATGATGTTGATTTGTTATGGTAGCCATTTTTGACTACATAACAATCCTTTCTCTCTATCTACTTAACATTGTTGGTCAGTTGGCATGTTTAAACTTTCTTGAACTCTTAGCCCAACTATGTTTCTGGTTTAGAACTTCTTGAAATTTGCACGTGGTTGCTGTTTGGGAATGATTAGCCTATGGTCAAGGAATGAGTAATACTGCAAGTTACACTACTGTCTAACTTGCCCTTAAACTTTTGGAGTTCATTTACATGACTCTTGGGGTGTGTTTCTGCAAGTATGCTTTATGGATATACCTTGATTTGCAAGTATGCCTTTGGAATATGTCTCATTTTCTTACATGAATCAAGAGAAGCAATCTGGGTAGACCTCTTCCTTTTTTTGTCCTTTTTGTTTGATTGTATACATAACATGCAGCATCACTGCATGGGGTTTTTTTTTAAAGATATATTTTTTAAAAAATTGGGTTCCTTGACATTTGATTGAGAACGGGGATGCTGGTTGTATATCCCTTCCTAAACAGTATGGAATAAATGTTTTTGGTGATGATCGTCCCATTGAGAGACATGATAACTTAGGTGAATTTCATGTCTGTCCTTGCGTGTTGATATTCTGATGCACGATTTGGAGTATTATGGAGATGAAACTATATAATTGGTTCTTTTTATGGTCCATCAGTGGAGAGCAGGTTCTCTGATAGAATAATTCTTCCTTGCATGACCCACAAATGTAACTTTGATCCTCCTCTTTACTTTATGTTATTTTTCATGTACTTGATTTTCTCTTGCATCTCAATTTGGCTCATGGACAGTCAATTACTAAGTATCACACTCTTGCACATTAGAATCTAGTTAGCTTGCACCAGAAGGCAAACGAATTATACTATGTTCCATGTATTAACTGACCATGAATTTTAATCCAATGTGTATTTCTGTGTGATCCTTAATGAATGAGTAATGACTCTCTTAATTTTTATAAAAGAAATTAAAGTAATGATTTGTTTTGAGAGAGTCACAACGTCACGGTTGTGACAATTATGTTGTATTGATTTTGGCTTATCCTTTTGCTTTTCTGTTTTCTGTTCTCTTTATTTTGGCTGGCTGTCAGAGCACTGATCGTTCTCCTTTCTCCTTTTGTGTTCCATCCTTTTTGTTCCCCAAAATAATACCTCATCTTTATCCAAAAAATCTGTGGCCATTCCAAGTTTTTCTTGTTCCCCCTTGGACAATCTAGTTGCTACACCTATCTCTACTATATCCGGCTTCCATTTTGTTCTATCCAGGCTATTTTCATAATTCATATCTCTCCTTCCTTGCTCTGTTTCTTTTTTGCTCACTAATTCATGTTAACTGATTATTATTTTTCCTGCAATCTGTTCCCTAACCCCCTAGCATGAACATTTAAATGTTGGTAGCAATTGATAATTTATAGTTTCTGCTTGATAAATTTAATTTATTGTGAATATAATACACTTCTCTCTCTCTCCCTCCCTCTCTCTATCTCTCTCTCTTTAATTGAGAGAATGCCTTGTGCCTGATGAAGTAATTATTGGTATAGCTGTTGTTTATTCTGATGGTTAGCATAATGCTGCTACTTTCTTGTGTTTATGATTTCTAATGATACTATAATGAACTATCTCGTTGGAAATTGATGATCTCTTGACTTGATTAGTATTGTTCAAATACTTATTTATGAGAAGTAACCCCTTTGGAAGAGTCCCCATGTAAAATAATGCATCGATATTGTTGGAGCAGATCTGATGATTTCGTTTTTCAATTGATATGTGTCTACTGAGCAAAGCTGGATATGGGAACTCATAATATTTTGTGGAACTTGACAAAGAAATGCTTTACTGCTGGGCTTATAGGCCTGACTGTTTCCGATAGATATTTTAGTGTGGTTCCAGTACGAGGTACCTCTATGTCGCCAACTTTTAATCCAAGAGCCAATTCCCTTACTGGTAAAATTATTCGAGAATGTTCTTGAAAGATATGCTGTTCGTAGTACCTACTATAGTTGTCTGATCATCAGATTTTATGCTGCAGATGACTATGTTCTTCTGGAGAAACTTTGCCTTGAAAAGTACAAATTCTCATCTGGTGATATTGTAGTATTCCGGTAATTCTATCCATAACTTAGCAGCATTTCTAAAATGTTCTTTATCAGTTAGTAGTATGACAGATATGCTGCACCTTTAAACATGCTGTTTCAGAAATTTTGAATGGCGTAAATGTTACTTTCTCATAGCCATCAAGTTAACAATAGATGTAAAGGCATTCCTAATAATGGTAATTTGGGTAGTTTTTTGGAAGCCAAATTGCATTTTGCAGCAAATTGAATCATGAGGAAATTCAAACACCTCTATGAGTGAAAAACATGGAACTTGCTGATATTATTCTTAAAATGAGGGATTAGCTTTTGAATCGTATTATTCATGGATAATATTGCAGAGTTTTACTAGAAGGTTGTCAATTGTAAGGTGGCTTTTTGAAGTGAATTCCACTTCATATCCTTAAAATTCTTGGTTCAGATTGATCTATGGTTGCCTCAAATCTAATATGAGCTCAGGCATCAGTTAGCTATTGACAATTGCTTATTTGCGTGTCAACTCAGCAAATAAAAGAGTCTAAGCTTAGGGTCGGTTGAATCTGTTTGAAGCATATTTTAGTATTGGTTTCATGAAAATAAATGAGGGTGTCATGTGTAACTTGCAATATTTGACCATAGGATAAGAGTGAAAACTATCAGTAATTTGTTAGTCGATTCATCTTGCTTGTTCTTAGCTTGCTAAAGATGACATTTTTTCTCAAGATGTTGGGAGTAATTTTTTTCTTTTGAAAATAAAGTATGAATTAAAATGACAAGCACCAATTGGTTAATTGGTAATTGTCAATTTCAAAAAAAAAAAAAAATCAGAAGCACCAAGATGGTTCATTTTTTAATCAATTGACAATTAGCAATTGAATGATAAAGCTTTAATTTGGTAATCTTAGTCATTGAGAAAGCTGAAACAAGGTCACACCCTGGGTTGTGCTTGACTGATAATTTCTTTTGTCATACCCATAATCATGAGGTTTGCTTTCAAAACCAAAGGTTTGTATTTGGTACCTGAATCGTGTTGCTTTTGCATCCTATAATCGTCCAGAAAGCTCTCTGGATCCTCAACAAGATTGGGGGTGCCTGATTCAAGTAGGTTCTTTTAAGGATTTTTAGGAAAAAGAAAGAAAACAGCATTAAGAGTATATATATTGATAGGAACAATTAATGTAATTTTTTGGTAGCTAGGAATTCTTTTAGAAGAGAATAGACCCATGGCTAAGGCATTAAGAGAAATTTCACTTGGGAAACTGTGAAGGAAAACATTTTTGCTCTAGACAAGTTAATTAGAGGGGAAATATTTCAGTGAATGAGTGTTCTCTGTGCAAGAGTAGTGCAGAATCTTGCAATTATATTCTTTTCTAGTGCCTTTATGCTTATCGGGTTTGGTCTTGGCCTATGGTTTCTTGGGAGTGGACTGGGTGATAGATACTTCAGTTAGGGAGGAGCTATGGCCTTGAAGTGGCATCAACAGTGATAAGAGATCAAGGCTTATTCCTTTGGGTAACTTTTGGCTTATTTGGAAAGAGAGTATAAAAGAGCTTTTGAAGGGATGGAATCTAACTTTGATAGATTTAAGGATTTATAGTTTTAGACCTGAGTTTTCTGTGAAGAGGTCACCCCTTAACGCTAGTTAGGATTTAGGAGATCTAATTCTATCTGTAAATACTTTGTTCTATGGGTTTGCACTTCCTTGGTGCTCTTGAGTATCTTATCATACTTTTCCATTTAAGAAAAAAAAGTTAAAGAAAATTAGTTTTTTGTAATTGAAAATTTTGTTAGGAAAAAAGGTAGAGGAATGAAGAGAGAAAATTAATTGTTTGCATGATATTATGTAACACAAAGGAATAGATAATTCGGAAATAGAGCGGATAAAATGTTTCACAAGCTTGAGTTTTGAGAATTGGCATTCTCGAAGAAGCAAGAAAAGTGGATAAAAGTGGATTGCTAATGTTTTTCAAGCTTACAACTTATTACCAAATAATAATAATGATACTGATAATATAAACAATGTTGAGCTATCTTATCATCAACTAGTTTTGTTGTTATAACGTGCTGTAAACTGAAACGAAAAACTAATTAGAGGTCCATTTAGTATGGTTGGTGGTTCTCTAGTAAGCTGCTAAAAGTGCTTTCAAAATGATTCTAAGTAAAAAAAAATGATTCTAAGTAAAAGCAGTTTTAAAGTGAAGCAGTATAGTGTTGGTAAAATTTGCTACAAAATGCTTTCAATATAAAATGTGGTAGTACAATTACTTGAAAGCACTTTTTTGTCTTTTGTTTCTGGTCATACTTCTGTTTTTTTGACAACAGAAGCAGAAGCTCGAACAAAATAAACACCAAGTCTCCCTCCCAAATACAAAATTAGCCAAGTACTGTTACTTGCTCATGTTACCTTATCATGGCTCAAAATTTACTACATTCCTAGTAACTAGTGATGCAGAATGAATTATCTATAAATTGTGTAAATAAATTGGAAATCACAATATGAAAACTACTATACTAATTTTTTAAAGAATATTATACTATTTAAGAGTATTATTATCAATTTTAGTACCTTTATGATTTTATTTTTATTAATATTTACTTTTCCTATTTATATTAGTAGTATTATTCCCTAATGCTATCAGTTCTAGTATGTCTTAGTTTAATGCTATTTTGTGAAGATAATGTAGGAAGCACTATCAATATTTTTTTTTTAATTTCACTTTTATGACAAATTTCAGTTATTCAATAGAATAATTTAAGAGTTTTTTAATTATCTAATGGTGTGATGCAACCAAATCCTTAAACTATGATGTTTAAGACTTCTTAGACGTGATGTCTAATAAATTTGAAGCATGATGTGTAAGTTTTTATCCCCAGATTCCTAATTGGGTAAATTAACCATAATCTGTTAGATAATCAATTGATATCAAAGCTAAAGGAATCATACATTTAAAACCTCAAACTCCATACCTAAGCATGTCCATCCATAAAAAAATATATATATGAAAATCGTAAACAGAAAATCTTAAAACTGACTAACCAGTGCTTTCACCAGCAACCATTGCGATGTGAGTGACACAGCCTTACCACCCACCTTACAAGACCTTGATCAGTAAACACTAAAGCACTGCCTAACAAAATGTGCTGCTCACCATTGTAAGTTTCCTAGTTGCTTCCTCTCTCAATCCCTTCCCTTTCTGCATCTGCATCTCACATTGCTACTCAATCTGCAACCACTATCACAAGCCAATCTATTGTTAGGACCCTGATATCATCTGATAATTGGAACGTCACATGACCCTTACATTGTATGACCTACAAGTGAGCGCTGTGAAGTTGTGCTCTCCTTTGAATTTTTAATCAGGTTTGACTGAACTGGTTAACCTAGATCAATTTCTCCCCTTCCATAACCTTTTTTCAGCAGTTCAAAATGAGTCCCCGTGTACTTTTTCCTGCTCTTCTTATCCTTACAATCATTTCATAAAAGTTAGCATAATGAAAAAAATTTAAACTTATGGAACCTTAAGGAAGAGAATGAGCCATTACTCAAAGAATGTAAAATTGACAAATGTTTCTTAGTTGTAGCTAAACACAATCAATAAGAAACAAAACCTTGCTGAGTTACCAAAATACTTTTATTATCTGTCCCAGCTAGTCCTTATAGTTGCCAATGTAGTTGTGTTAAAAAACTTAGTTGTTCAACTGTACAAATTAAAACAAGTTTGAAAAATTAGTCATGCTACCTACAATGTTTCAATATGTGTGATGTAGTTCCTATGATGTTCACATATATATCTTGTAAGTTGAAATTGGCTTTATGATCAATATGTGCAGCATGACAAGAATACTAATACTTATCATGTTGTGCTTGATATAAATGATATAGTTTTAAAACCTATGACTAGGAAAAAAAATAAGTACATATAAACGTCAAAAATACCAATAGTCAATGAAAAAGATAAAGAGGAGCTCATTGAAGTTGAGAACAAGAAGACCTGCCCATGTCCTCATGACAGTATAGATTTGAGGTTACTCAAGACATTTCACTACCTAATAAGAGATATGGAAGTTCAGTGCAAAAAGGAACTTAAGCCAATATAGTTGGGTCTAGCTATGTTTAATTCAAGAATGCGCTTGATTTTGTCCTACCATCAAGATTTCACATTCATAAACATTATGTATTTCTGTTATGTTTGCTACTGAAGAGGATCACCAAGATACAGTTTACTGAATTTTCATGGGGAAGCTGGAAGATTAATGTGTTACACCATTCGCCATTTCAGTACTCTTTAACAAGTTTTCTCCAACAATGCAAGAATGATACATAATGAATTTATTCTAGATTACCTAAATAAATTTTAAAAATCATAATTCTATTAGATATAACACTACTATACTATTTAGGAGTTTATTATCATTTTAGTAGCTTTAACATTTTATTGTTGGTATTTAGTTTTCCTATTTGCATTGGTGGTGCTATTTTCTAATTTTATTAGTACTAATATTCCTTAGTTTAATCTTATTAGTAAAAGTCGCTTATGAAATATTATAAATATTTTTATAACAGTAGTTTTTGAAATAGACTTTAGTTTTTCAATAAAATACTTTGAGAGTTTCTAGCTTTTTAGTTATGTAATGTAATTAACCCAGTAAATGTAATGCTTAAAACTTTTTTTTTGGGGAAAAAAAATGGAGCAGACTTATTATATATGATGTTTAAGAAACTCGAGGTGTGATGTCTAAATTTTTATTCTCAAATCCCCTAGTAGGCAAATTAACCATAAGTTGTCCTATCATAGTATAGTCTTACCTACATGTTTTATTTGCACATGCGTACTTCAAGGACGTGCTTTATTTGTACACTTATATGGCAACAGTGGGGGATGTACATTGCTGATGACACAGTTTATTCTATGCATATATGTCCTTAGTGATGGTACTTTGTGTTGAAGTCGTGAATTGCTGAGATCTTATACTGCATCAGTTACAACCTTTTGCAGATCTCCCAGTAATTATAGGGAGAAACACATAAAGAGAATTGTTGGCTTACCTGGTGACTGGATTGGAATTTCTCATGATGTGGTGAAGGTTCCGCAAGGACACTGTTGGGTTGAGGGAGACAATTCAGCTTCTAGCATGGACTCAAGATCCTTTGGCCCAGTAAGCTAGTCATTTTGGCACATTATTCCATAGAAAAATTCCAAAATCTTTTTCTTTCCATTAATCCTCAACTTTAATGGTTCACTATGCTGAAACATATAAAAATATATGTTAAGAGAGAGAAGCCATATGATGTATGTTTCGTATACAGAAACTTAAAATGTCATCTTATTCTTTGTTGACAATAATATTTGAAAAATTGTGTTTAGATTTTCTATTTATTGAATTTTTCTTCATAATACTTAATTTATAATTGCTAAGTATATATAGGAGAATATAAGAGAATTTTAGTCAGAAATTAAATACAAATCAGTCCCATAAAATATAAAAATCTTTCAGTTATGGAAGTCAACTATAATTGTAATTTATAGAGAAATTTTCTTGAAGATACCAATCTGTATAGAAATTGAACTTCTATAAGAAGTTTGATTCTTACAATACTAGTTATTTCCGAAGGTATCCCTGATATTTGCAAGAGCCAATAGTTGTCTGTTTATGATTCTTTAATTACATTACTCCTGCCCGGGAAAGATCCTATGAACTTAGCAGTATGCTGCATCAAGATGTAGCCCTAGGGAAATTGAGGAAATTGAATGATATTTCTTTTAGAAGTTTGGATAATTGAGTGTGTTTGATATCTTCTTTAGCCTCTAAGTCACCTTCTGTAGTTAGATGACAGTGATACTAGTGGTGTTGGCCACAACCTGCATGTTGCCCTGAGTACCTAATCTGCATTTGCTGACATTCTTTTTCTGCTTTTAAGATTTACTAACTTCAACTAATTATGCTTGGCAGATTCCTTTGGGATTAATCCAGGGAAGGGTCACCCACATCGTATGGCCCCCTCAGAGGATAAGCAAGATCAAGAGGTAAACTCTTCAAAATGGAATTCCTCCTTCTTGATTGATTCGAGTAGGTCCACATTTCACATGGGAGTAGCACTATCCACACCTGCCTCCCTTTTCCCTGGCATCTCTTATGCCAACATTCTTTAGTGAGTTTTGCTTGTCAAGCACAGAGCAGCTTCTCTGACATTGACAATTCTTTTGTGTCCCTGCAAATTTTAGGTTCCCCCCAATCCTCACATGATTTTGTATTTTTCTGAAAATGTTTTATGTTCCATTTTTACAAGGAATATTATAAGATACCATACTTTTGAGATGCTTTAAATGGTTGTATCCCAATTTTGAGTTGCAAGCCTAATTCTTATCAACTCTCATATAATTTTTGTTTGAAGATTATATTAGTCCTAAGGTGGAGTACGATGGAGAGTTTGGTTGAAGTTGGGTCTTGTCAGAAATTGCTTACCATTCTTAAAGAAATTTTAAGCAATGAGATTCATATCAATGGATTTGCTCGTGCTTAGGATTGAAGTTTATGAATCCATTTCAGATTCCACCAAGAAAACAGTGAATATGATTTTACTTGTGTGTGTATCTAGGTGGAATATCTCGCTGCAAACTGAATCTTTGTCATTCTTTTGCAAGGTTGATATTCCTTTCGATCATTCCTCTAGATAGTTCATGAATAGAAAAATATGCTTTGTCACCAAAATATAATGCCTTCGTTCAACCTAAAATATGTTTAAGCAAATCCTGCATGGGAATGAGGATTACAAAATGGTTATCTTCGGTTTAATTACTTAATTCTTAGTTAATAATTTCAGTTTTTATGTTAGTTTTTGTATGTATAATAAGTATAATTTGTAATGTTTGAGTTGCTATCACTTCATCTTAAATTCTTTGATGATAAGAATATAGTACTAAGATTTTAAGGAGGGAAGTTGGAACCTTTACCACCAAAAGATCTAGTGAAGAAAAACAGGGTTATATATCTGCTTCTCTATATATATATATATATATCATTGTACATACTCTTCTCTCAGACGTCTGGATTCACTTTTCTTCCTTCTTCTGTCTTCCGGCAGCTAATGGTAAGGTCAAATCCCTTCATCTTACAAATCTACATTTGCCCACTGTACGTTTATCTCGTGTTCTCAGTTTTTTTTTTTCTTTCCCTTCCTCCTGCGTTTCTTGCCTTTTGGTTTCTAAGGGTGCACCAACTCCGTAATTTAAGGGTGAAACTATTTTGTGCCTTAAAGTTCTTCATGGATGTCAAACATGGAGGAACAAATCATTGAAATCTCGGTCTTTTGCAGATATGGCAGCACCTGATTTACGCCCTGACAATAATCGAGCACACCCAATTTACAGCACTGCACGGTAGGGTTACCCTCATAAGATTGGTTTTGAGAGTTTTGCAAATAGGAGAGAGAGACTAGTATCTAATTATCCGATTTAAAATGTATATATATTATGTAGAACTTGTTGAGTTGAGAGTAAAAGTTGTTAGAATCACTTTAAGATTATTGTCTTCAATTAGAAAAAAAAATATCAATAATGCAATCAAATTGAGAGATCTCGTAGTTGGATGAATGATTAAATACAAAATGAGATGTTGATATGATAATTAGAGTTGGAAGTATATGGGTAATTGGGATGGGATGAGTAATTGGAGATTGGGGGATGAATAATTGGACATTGGGGGATGAAATTTTTTTGAGGTTCCTACTCACCCCACTCATGGCATCCGACACATGACAATTGATATGGTCCCATATCCATTAAAATTTATATCGTACAACTGCCAGCTACCATCCATCCATAGAATGGGTTACAAGCATTCCTTCTAGTCCAAATTATACTAATC